CCCGATTGTACTGGAGGTTCAGATGTGGGAAGAATGCCAGCAAGAATATCTATACCACTCTGAGATGTAGCAAACTGCTCTTGAGGAAAACCTGGTGAGTTCGATGGAGGTTGCACATTCTGAGAAGCAGGATCAGGATTGGCAACGGCGGAAAATGAGTCTCCAAAGCCAAAGTTATGAGCAGTATCAGGATGTGAGACCTCTGAAGTGAAGGCTGGAGGTGGTGGCTGGAAAGAAGCTCCAAAATTCTGCTGTGGGATTGAGTCGGTGTCAGTAGAAGTGAAGGCTTTGAAAGGAGAGTCACCAAATGGGTCATCAAATGGCTGCATAATCCAAACAACAGTCATCAATAATCATAGGAAACCATCATAATCTTCAGAGTCCAAGCTCAGTGTATATACCTGAGTTGATGGCTGAGATGTAGAAAACGATGGAGCTGGACCAGCGTTTGCTTGTCCATCGGTTTCAACATAGGCAGAATCAGCTGGTACAATGGCCAATGCGTTTGATGAAAATACATCTGCAAGGGAGCCAAGCAAGTCCATCTCAACACTGTTTGAGGTGGGAGGGGCAGACATAGAAGTCACAGTTGGAGGAGCTGTAACACCATCTGTAGATGCATATGCTGGAGGGCCAGCTGGAAAAGTAAAGAAACACAACGGCCACACTCAGAACTATATAGAAATATACCATACAGACATGAGAATACAATCATACACCCTCCAACTAAGCCTTGAAACATTTACTGAAGTAGTTATTGAATAAAGATTTTCTGGTTTAACAATGAACATTAATCTCTAATTCTCTATGCTGCCAACGAGTTTGAAAAAACTAAGAAACTATCTCAAGATATAAAAAAATAGCAACTAAGAATTGCAAGACTTTGAGTATGCTGTACCTGAAAACGCACTGCGTGGATCAAATTCATCGAAAGTCTCAACTTTCTGAGAAAGTGATTCATTAACAAAAGTAGCAGCTTTATTGTCTGTGTTGGTTCCAGTTGGCGGAGAAGTAGCAGCAACTTGTGGGGGAGGAGGAGAAGCAGCTCCTGGAGCAGTAACTTGTGGGGTCTCCCCACCATCCCTGGCATAGAAAGATTCATCAGCGCCAAAAAAAACCAAGGTAGCTCTCAATTTGCAAAGCAAAAAATTATCACCTTTCACTATATACAGGGCTGCGTGATTCACTGACAGCTTCTTCGTAACTGGGTGGAGCGCCAATATTTTGTTCAGAAAACTTCCTCTGGAGCCCCCCTCTACCATACAATCCCGAAAGAAGGTGAGATGAGTTGTCATAAAATAAGAAAATGCCTAAACTTCAGCAGAAACATATCAGAAATTACCTCCCATCCTGAGAATTATCATCAGCTCGAGCACCACTGCCCCTACAGGACAAAAACGAGTGTTTCCATTGAAATTTTAAAAAGGTGGGTCCGTATTAATGGAACTAGGCTAAGAAGATGCTCGAAATCGTGCTTTTAAAAATCAAGGACATCTACGCTAGTATTCTAAACAAAAATAATCTTCAAAATTGTCCCCTTCCTTTTTTATTTCAGGTATCTAGGCGAGCTAAAACTTAAAATCAAACATACCGTGATGACGAATGGCCATCATCCTCCCGCTCTCTTTCCGAACTCCTACCTCGTGACCCATATTGGTAGTTATCAACACTTCTGCTCCTTCCCCTGTAATCATCATCCCTATTACCATCTCTCCCATACCGGTCTTCAGAGTCTCTGGAATGACGATCTCCATCACGACTATTTCTATCATCATCTCTGTAACCATATTCTCTTTCTCTACCATAACTACTTCGCTCTTCATCCCGGCTTCCGTAATCATATTTGTCCCCATATCCGCCTGAAGGCTTATACATCCCACCTGGTGCTGAGCTGCGATACCTGTTGTAAAAATAATGTACGTTGATATGTTCAGCATATTTTGAATGAACCAAAAGACATGTCATTTTCTTTTCTCGAGTATAAAAACTTTCAATTCAGAAGCTAATACGGTTAAAGGGCCACCACCACAAATTAATAGACTACTGAGAGGCAAGATAATAATTGAAAGCCACTAGCAACAAGAAATCAAACGAGTGTCCAACGAGACTCACACAGAGAGAAAATTATCTACCAGTTCCAGAAAGATACAATGACAAGCAAACTTACTTATCTCTGTTAGCAGAGGCCTTCTGTCTGACCTCAGCTATTCTTTCCTTGTCATTCACCAACGCCACCAGGCTCTGTGATTTCTTCCTAACATTGCTTCCTTGATCTCTACCACTGGAATCAATATACTGAAAATCGGACAATGTCTGCCACAAGGAAAATAGACATATATGAGTAAGATAGTCAACTACTGAGATATAGCACAAAAGGATTCTCTTGAAGTTGAATACTTCAAAAAATAATATGCTCCGGGTGGTCATTACCGAAATTTGATATGCACGTTCTCTAATCTCGTCTATAACACGTTCTGATCCATGACCAACCATGTACTCCAAAACTGTCAAAGCCTGAAGGGGAGAGATAAAAGGTCAACAGCATGAAATACTTTCGTCACTGGTACAGAAATTCGACACGAATTAAGCCAGCAAGACATTAATATTGTTTACCTTATAGACATGCCGCCAGTTTTTCCCGGTGTCGCTAAGGCGTTTCCATAAGACCACCATGATCAGCTGGTATTCATGACTGCAATAGAAGTAACATTTTTATAATTCCTGTGCAGTGTGCCAGAATTACAGCAAAATATAGCAAGTTGGAAGGTGGTGGTAGTTACTAATTTCTTGAAGCTTGCGCAAGATCAGCAAGAAGTGATCCATGTGGACCCCATGGCTCATTGCTAGTAGCATCTAGAACCTGAAGAAACAACATAAAAATATGATGGACATCTCGCTTTAAAGTTGTTTAGCAAGACGATGAATGCAATCAAGATAAGCTCTCTATTTATATTTTTTTGAAAAACCGTTTACAAACAAATCATGAAATTGATCAACTCAAGCATATCTAAATCAACAAAAACCGAAGAGCATCCTTTTACCTTCTGTTCAACTCCAGGAACTTTGAGCACTTTCTTGTTGACCTCTCTCTTACTGAATAAATGGAACATAAAATCAAGCATCCCGTTAATGAAACAAAAGAAATAAACCACACACAATTCGGGTACGATAATTCTTACAGGTCTCTAACAGTTTGGCCGAAGACTTTCTTCATCTTCGTATGTGTTCCAGGAACAAGAGTATCTAAAACAAAAATCTATTAAGCACCTTCTATGGAGTCTGTTGTATAACTCGTATGAGCAGCTTTATCTGTTAACGTTCCAAACAAAGATATAAATCACCACAAAATGTATAGATAGAACCAAAAAAAAAAATTCATCGATTACAACGAATCATTCTTCAGCATAACCTCACATTTCAACTTATTGACCATCAAAATAAACGAGAGCCAATACATGAAAATTGAGGAACGGCCACAAATCAATCAGGCATGATCGAGTATTTCTTTGTTCAGATTCAACCTTAAAAAGTCTCAAGGAAGCTCGGAACAAAAATTTCCGAATTTTGCCAAAATCAAAGGGATAAAGAGAAGAAGTCAAAATCAACAAAAATCCGAGTCCTAAGCAGACTAAAATTCAAACGGTAACAATCAAAAGTCGAATAAAAAGGAAGATTCTCATTCAACACAGATCTTAGAGCTAATAACATCCGTAAATAAACGTCCACAATATAGAATCACATCCAACAAGATCAACCGGAAATTTCAAAATGAAAAATTAGATCCAAAATAACAGGAATCTGACCAGAATCGGATCGTGGATCTGTGAAGAGGAAGAAGAAACGCTTGTGTGATATCTCTTTCTATCTTTTGAAGGTGGAGGAGATTGTCTCTCCTCTCTTTTCTGCGTTTAGCTTTCGCCTCCTCTCTCTACAGAATTTCGGTGTTAGAGAGAGAGAGAGAGAGAGAGAAGAAGAAAACAGCAGCCAGAAGGGAAAATTCAACACATAGATAAATTAATATACAAAATCAAATAGTAAAAAAAATCAAAGTATGTAGAATAATACTAAGACAGCGCAACTAAACACGGAGAATGGAATATTATTAAGGGCTCCAAATCATATAATGTTGGTCATTTGAAATTCACAGCTGTTTTTTTATTCATCTTCGTATATCTGTATTTTTATTTGAGCAAAAAAAAAAAACATAATTATTACTTTGGTCTAACCACGTTTTATAAAGTTTCTATTCTCATATACAACAGTTTGGAAATGAGAAGATACAATATGCTTTATTCCAACTTTATTTTTGTGACAAATATGCTTTATGTCTAGTGGAGTTGGAAGCTACTAGACCTTATCTATTTCAGTATTGTTGAATATCAATATCAAAGTTGTGCTTATTAGCTTCGTTAAATTTAACTTATCATTATCAAAATAATTTTGGGGTGATTTATCAAAATCAACTTACGAAATAAAGGTGCAGGTGTTGTTGCCAAACAATCACAAAATGACTGTGACAAAATATTTGGAGGCAAATATACCAAAATACGTTAGTCAATGGGCCTCAAATCAGCTTGTGCTATCCCAAAGCCCAAAGTACACCACCACTTACAGTATTTCGAATCAAATTCTTTAGCACTTGGTTTTCATATGCTTTTTCGTTCCATGTTTCGATTAATAAACTAAAAGATGACTTTGATATGAATTCATTTCAACAGACAACAGGTTTACATTTTATTTCAGAATGGTTTCTTGACTCCGATTAGGTTTTGTATTAAGCATATAGAATAGTAGTGCTCAATATAAGAAAAAAATCAAATAAAAACAAAAGAATAGGTGGAAATTAGTTGAATGAAAGTGATTCTCTGACGTATTACATAGCAGCACAAATGAGATCGAAGAGTTGTGTTACTTCCACTTTCCCACCTTTTGAAGCAATGATAACTTTTTTCTGTACGAACAGATCCAAACGATGTCAAAAGAATGTCTTTAACTTTGTCGTTGGAACTATGTTTTAAGGTAGAAAATGCGATGACTGTACATCCAATAATCGATAGAAAGAAGAAACTGGAACTTTGTTTTATATGCTAACAACTCTTTCATTACATTAACGGAAGAATAACAAAATAGAAAATGTATGCACAACAATTAAATTACCAAAACCCTTTTTTCACTTAACAACAAAAGGGAACAAAGAAGAGTATGATACGATCTAAAAGGGTCTTGGAAACAATTTGACTTGATGAAGACGCAAAGATAATGATGCACAAGTGGAAGATGAGCGACATTGAAGAAGAGGAAGCGATGTGGATCGTTGTTAGAGATGTTTTGTTTCTGATTTCCACGCCACGATCCTTATTTGGTTCACTTCTTCTTCTCTTTGACTTTGACCCTTCCTTTATTTCATTATGTAAAAGAAAACCTGTGCGGAGAAGATATTGAGATTTTATTTAGGGGACAATTATTAGAACGGATAATGGAGTAAGTAAAAAGTATAGGATTGTTGGACTTACTTGAATAATTGGGAAATTTTGTTGAATTTGACGAGCCTAGTAATGTGTGGGAGGTGGGGGAGAAGCGTAGATGTAAACGGGAGGTGGAGGAGATTTTACCGGTGGTGGTGGTGAGCTGTAAAGGTATGGTGGTGGTGGAGATTTCACCGGAGGTGGTGGTGAGCTGTAATGGTATGGTGGTGGTGGAGACTTGACTGGAGGGGGTGGTGAATGGTAGTAGTATGGGGGAGGAGGGGACTTCACCGGAGGGGGAGGTGAGTGGTAGTAGTATGGTGGTGGAGGGGATTTCACCGGAGGGGGTGGTGAGTGGTAATAGTATGGTGGTGGTGGAGATTTCACCGGAGGGGGTGGTGAGTGGTAATAATATGGTGGTGGAGGAGACTTCACCGGAGGAGGTGGAGAATGGTAGTAATACGGTGGTGGAGGAGACTTCACCGGAGGAGGAGGAGAGCTGTAAACATAAGGAGGGGGAGGGGATTTCACTGGCGGCGGCGGTGAATGATAGTAATACGGTGGTGGAGGAGACTTAACCGGAGGTGGTGGTGATTTATATTCATAAGGAGGTGGAGGAGATTTAACCGGAGGAGGTGGAGATTTATACTCGTACGGTGGTGGAGGAGAACTATAGTAATAAGGTTCGGTAGCCATAGCCGAGCCAACGAGTAACGCCAACATGGCCACTACCCATTGAGCCTTGGCATGACTCCATGCCGGAGTCGCCATTCTTCACCGGATAATGTTCAGTCTTGGCTACGACTTTTTTCTCCAAATTATTAAAGAAGAAAAAATTGGAGAAAATGTTTTTATTTTTGAGGAAAGATGAAGAAGAAGTGATTGATTGTGTTTCTGCATGGAAAAGAGTTGTCTTTATAGTGAAAAAAGTAGTCGTTGGAGGTGGGCTTTGTTCTTTAGGGACTAATTCAATATCTTCGTTTTTTCTTCTATAGTTTTGTTATTTTAATTTCGCTATTAGCTGGCAATTATTAGTTTTCTTAGTTTTATAATAAACAAGATAATAGATCAGGAAATTTCCACTGTGTGAGAAAACTAATCTTCAACCACCAGATTGAAATAAAACCAAACTAATTCTAATTGAAAATCATACACAGATATTTTAAAAAATAGATGCTACTATTGAATTCTAGTTAAGCTATGTTAATCACGATGACATCTACCACAATCATTTTCGATTATATAATTTCTTTTTTATTTACCGACATTCTGTATATGTTAAAGTTGCGTATAAATCACATATATACAGTCAACAGAAAGCTATAAAATATTTCAAAAATAAATGATGACACGAAATCTATAAAAAATACTTGTTGGTGCGCAAAAATTATGACAAGAGGACCACAAAATTTCCGATCATGCATATTACAATGTGGTGCCAGAACGTTCCTAATTTTTTCAAAGTCATAAACTTAGAAACTACAAATATAAACTGCAAAAACACTAAATGCTTTTGACAAAAACACATCATATATAGAAAGGTAATTAGAACCGTAAGAAGCAAATAAATGTACAGAAAAGGATGATTATGAGAGTAAAGTCAAATGTCTTAATATAATGTATTTTGAAGACGAAACCAAGTATAATAGTACAAAGTTCAATTAACTAAACGACTTTGATTTTTGACATAAAAATGTGATTTTAATATAATGCGAGGTCGCGTGTTGTGACTCGGTGTATGATACCGCGTCGACTCGCTTCAGACTTATCGACTGTAATAATAGCATATATAATCTCTTAATAGTATAGTTATATAGTATAACATAACCATAGAGCTAAAATTTTATAAGTTCCGTTTTGAATTTGAATAGTGTCGTATACTTGACTATTCATTTTTTTCTTTCGTTTACTCGTATTGATCGTATAATTTCCCAATGTATTTATTTGACGACATATAACAATAGAGTGCATGTGAACTCTCAATTATGAGAAATATAATCGTGACAAAAGAAGATATAGCATGTGGAATGAAACTTAGTGGCATATTGCAGGCTTTTGCGTGGTCGTACAATTTGAGAACTAGCTAATACGGGGCTAAAAGTATAGTAATAACGTAAACAGAGTAATTTTAACCTTTTCTACTCGTATTTTTTATACATTAAATTATTACAGCTAGGTTAATGGTATTTACTATTATGGCACATGACAATTTACTACGTACACGAACCACCGCCACAAGAGATTTGAAGAAAAGGACTACAAAATGAGAAATAATTAAATATCATGACCTTATCAACATTTAATTGCAATTCATAATTCAAACTACTAAATCAAATTATTCTTGTGTTTCAGATTGGGAAATGCTGCTGTAACACACAAATTTTTATGTCTATAAGGACAAGAAAAGACAGAATTAAAGATGAACAATAAAGGCGGAAGTCATTACGAAATTGCAAGCATAAATGTAGGTTGAATTTTAAATCATGCAAAGAAATGATAATTTCTGTCGTGAAAAAGTATAGCTATTTAGAAAAAAAAAAAACAAGTATAATTATCTGTGTTTCCCAAAGAAGGTGCAGAAAAATTGTACTTCTGTTTATTTCCCTCCCACCACTTGTATATCTCAAACTTCATCAGATTTTGAGTGCCCATCAATAATCATATACTTCTCCTTACAAAAATCATATACATGCTGGAATTTTTTAAACAAAAAAAAAATGCTGGAATCATATACATATAGTTTGTTCGAATAATTCTTGTATTATACAAGTTGTACATATGATCAACATTTGGGATGGGAATCCTGATAGATTTTTGTTCCGATTTATACTTTTCCGGTCTATATTATGTGTTAAGATATTTTTGTAAACATTTTTGCCCAAAAAAAAAAAAAAAAAAAAGATATTTTTGTAAACACGTGAAAAGAAAAAGAAGTTTTCACAAATTAGGTTTCGTTTTTGATTTCCTGCAAAGTTTTGATCTTTTTAGAATTTTAGCAATATCAATTATTAAAGTTAAAGGGTGGTTAGAACTTGAAAAGAATTAGCAAGAAAGCTCATGGGCGAATAAACACTTTTCCAACAAATAAATTGTGAAACACCAAGGACGATTCCCTTAATTTAACCTAGGCCAAAATAATATGGGAGACTCATGCCCCTTTTTCAATACTCCTTTTCAAAAATGCTTTTTTTTGCTGTCCATTTTAAAAAATACCTTTTTTTATGTACAAAATGACTAAATTACCCTTCTTTTAAGGAAAAATATCCCAAATATATAAGAAAATATAACAAAATTAGGTCCACAAAATACAAAATATTTTTTGGCGGGAAAAGTGATCCCGCAATTTTTCCCGCCAAAACACTTGTAAAACCTTTAAAATACCTTGTAAAATTTTTACCGCCAAAAATTTTTTTGCGGGAAAAGTGATTCTCCAATTTTTTTGGCGTTAAATTTTTTGGCAGGAAAAATTTACAAGGTATTTTAAAGGTTTTTTACAGGGTATTTATAAGGTTTTACAATGTATTTTAAAAGGTTTTACAACGTATTTATAAGGTATTTATAATATATTATAAGATTTTACAAGCTATTTTATAAGGTTTTACAAGTTATAAGGTTTTACAAGTTTTTTATAAGGTTTTACAAGTTATAAATACCTTATAAAACCTTATAAGTACCTTGTAAAACCTTTTAAAATACATTGTAAAACCTTACAAAACACTTGTAAATACTCCTTTAAACCTTTAAAATACCTTGTAAATTTTTCCGCCAAAAAAAATTTCGCCAAAAAAATTGCGGAATCACTTTTCCCGCAAAAAAAATTTTTGGCGGAAAAATTTTACAAGTA